AATGAATTTTCTTATTATTCCAGTTGAAACATGAGAACGTCAAAGGGACTTCCCATAAATTTGTTTCCTTAATTCTCTCAAGTAACTCGAAAGTATAAAAGTATATACCCTTTTTCAGCTTTATAAACCAAGATCCTTCAGAGTTAAAATAAAACTTTTATAGTTTCAATTCAATTTTCGCACTGAAAGTCGGCAATTAAGTGCCGAATGTATGTAAACTTTCCATTGTGAAAATGTCCCTTGTTGAATGTTTGTAGTTTTTGAATAATTTTAATCCTTTAAAAATTACTTTATTTGAGAATCTATATTCCAATAACTGTAAATATTGAAAATACATAAATGCTACAGGCTCAAAACACTACCTACGCACTTTAATTAAAGCGTGAAATGCAAATCAATGTTATCGCTTCCACTTGATTACAATTCAGTGCATCTCATTATTTTGCATATTGTGCCTTCAATCAAAATGTTAAACGATGCGCTACTGGAAGTAACCACAAAAACCACGGGCACTCAACTACATACATACATACAAATTTGTATACAATTTATATTTAGATATTATATCTGCGATCTACGTAAAATGCCAGAGTATACATATATGTTTGTAGGTATGTAAATTAGACCGTACCACCTTGAAAGCAAATAAAAAATAGTACGCCGTACACCCCTGAGTATCGAGTATTTTTGCAAGGCAATTTGGAAAAAAATATTGCGTTTTTTTTGTCGAACTTAGTGGTCGCCTTTGAACATTCAGCAGCCAAAAAAAGTTGTTTATAAAAGTTCTACTGGAATAAAAAAATACTTGCTTAGCAAAAGTTTAATAATTTTTGGCGAGCTGTCAATTACTGTCTTTAAGGAGGTACCTAAAAACTGGATCAAAAAAGTTGTCTCCTCGGGGCAAGACCATCGATATACCATAGTTTAAGGTCCGACTGTAAATGCCGAAGATATAACGAAAAATATAAAAAGGCGCCCCTATGTTCGACAAAAAAAAGAGGCAATTTGAAATTGCCTTGCACAAATACTTTTGACTCTCTAATGTACATACATACACATGTATTTATAATGGAGGGCTTTCTAAAGGTGCCGTTAACCCTTAAGTTAGTCCACTCATGAGCTCAGCTAAAGAGGGTTTTCTTAAAATCTAAAATTGATATGTAATCCACGGTAATTTTACCGTTAGATTTTTTTAATGTAAATTATATTAGAAAGGTTAAAATATAGCTATTAAAAACTTATAATAATTTACCTCATTAATTTTTCATTTTTTATCCGACTTCAAAAAAGGGAGGAGGTTATCAATTCATCGGAATATTTTTGTTATGTATGTTACCGTATAACTTTGGACCACATTAACCGGTTTCGATAAGGATAAGGAAAGGTGGCACCGCAGAGGTAGTCCCATCCTAATTTGGTTTATAATCCGATTATTGGATCATGAGAAAATTAACGGTAATCTTAAAGTTTCACATCACAAATCGATAAATTGTTTTAGTGATAATTTAATTTTTTTTTCTACAAAACCTATGTGAACGCTAAGCATACCTAAACCTAAATTCAAGTACAAACTAAGAGAAAATATTAAAAGATAATAATTATTTTACCTTTCTTTTTAAGGAAATGACTGTTTATCAGACTAAGAAAAGTAACCAGAAAAGGACGTTCACAGTTGATAAAATTTTCGAGGAACAACCAGCAGTTTACCAAAACTACCGAAATGGATGTGAAGACACCTAAAGTTTTAATTTATTGCATACATTTGAATTGGAAATCGATTATGAATTCATAGAAAGAAACTGACAATGAAACTTTGGAATTTATGGTAGGAGGGGGGAAGGGGGGGGGGGGGGGG